GGAATCGAACGTTAACAGATGGGAATTAATTCCCTGCCTTTGAAAACACAAATATCACCTGCTCTATTTGGGCCTGGGTTCCACTGTTGCTTCATTCAGTATCCCCCCCCCCCCCCTCATAGAACTGGAGGAATAGGCCCAGTCTGCGAGGGAGGGATAACTTGCTTTGCTCAGAAAATCTGATCTCTTGCAGTTCTCAAAATTAGGGCATCGCCTAGCAGCAGCCAACTTCTACTTTGGAAGACGAGCTAGATTAAATATATATTTTTAAAACCACCAAACGCTGCTGGAGACAATTTTGTGTCTAACTCATTTGGACAAAATAAACCCCACATGTCTGCTTGGGAGGAGGCCACCAAATAAATATATGAAAGGGTTAAATATAGTAATATAAATATATTTATATAAATAGTATAATATATTATATAAATAATATAATATATTCTATATTATAAAAATAATATAAATATATAAATATAAAAATAGCATCCTTCCCTCTGTGCTCATTAAAATGCCACTAATGCTGTCCTTCAAGCAAACCTCAAGGAATTAACATGAATGGAGTTAAATTTTCTCCATTTCATTCATTTGACCTATCCGGTCCTCCAAGAAAAAGAGTTGGGGGATCTAGAAAGGCTGGGGAAAAAAGCCTCTTTCTCTCTGCCTCACAGTGTCCAGCACCTTTTCCAAACACTGATTGGCTGTACCTGGGCTTAGTCACACCTACTGCCACCAGACTGGCCAATGAGAAGCAACTAGTAACATGCCAAGATGGCGGCAAAATAGTAGTTCTGGAAATAAATTTCCCTCAGGGTCGATCTTTAGAGCCTTAAGAAATGAATTCCTGAGGTAAAATAAAGCCCAAACCTGGTACAGTAGAGAGATTGAGGACCATAAATCCCCAAAAGCAAGAAAAAAAGGTAAGGGTTGTTGACTCCTGTTTCCACACTGCAAGAGACACACAAAATGTGAGTAACACAATAATGGCTCCACACACGCCGAACTTCGACAACGACAACCCGACGGGCCTCATTCCTGAACTTCTCCAGCTCAAGTCACTTTCCAGAATAGGGAAGCAGCAGAAATGGAGTCCCCTGGGTATTGGGCAGCCAATAAATTCAAATCAGTAAAATAATAACAATATATAGGTGGTCCCCAACTTATAACTGTCCATTTAGTGACTGTTTGAAGATGGCACTGGAAAAAAAAAGTGGCTCAGGACTGTTTTTAAGCCCGTTGCTGCATCATGAGATCAAAATTCAGATGCTTTGGCGACTGATTCATATTTATGACAGCCGCCGTGTCCCCAATTTGTTTAACAACCGTGTGACTAATTTAACTGCAGTGATTGCCTTAACTGTGGCAAAAAGGGTTGTAAAATGGGGCATTTTAACCCATTCTTAACAAATGTCTCATTTAACAACAGAAATGTTGGGGCTCAATTGTCATAAGTCGAGGATTACCTCAAATGGCCACCTTCTGGATCAAATCCCCTTCCACAACTCCATCCCCCTACCTTTCTTTGAGGTTTGCCTTTTTTTCCTGCAGAAACCTTTTTTTTTACTGCAATAGCTAAATCAAACTTTGCCAATATATTATTATTATTATTATTATTATTATTATTATTATTATTATTATTATTATTATTATTATTATTATTATACAATTG